AAGATTATATATAAGGTAAAACACGGGTAGTATAATATCATAAAAACGGGTCATGATCAGTACATGGTGGGACATTTTATGAATTACAGAACACAAAAAATATTTTTACATGGTTGTTGAAGGAAAAATATTGTAGTTATGTCTTACTTAGATTATTTCGCAAATGTGTAACGTCATAGTAGAGTTTTCCCGTACTCGATAAATGTAAACATGACACGTTTTTCTCATGCTCATGCCTTGTTTAACTATGCCCTGTGCAATATTGAGCTTCACCAATCGATGTTTTTGCAGTTAATCAATAACATGATGAACTTGCATTTCAACGTAATTTTTCAAATGATAGGGTTTTTTGTAAATTAATCTTTTTGTCGATTTAGTTGTCTTAAAAAGAATGTAATTTTCCGTCTCCAGATGCGGTGTGACAAAAGAATCTTGCTTTTTCGATTTTTTAACCCTATTCATACTCTGACATATTTTAAAAGACACATGTTCGCTGACATATTTTTATCCATGCTAAAAGAATTCCATTATGGACCGAGTAATGGGCCCAGAAATACGGAGAATCAAAACTTCACTCAGATACTATGGGGCATAGTATTTGTCACCCAATATCTTTAAAATAAATCTAGATACCTATTGATATATCTGCTTTAAGGTATGTGGGGCATACTAAATAAGACATATACAAAATATGAAAAAAATTGAATGACAGGTATTTTTTCAGCTAAAGGTCCTTCATTCCCTTAAAAACAACTCTATCAGCAAATTCAGTTTTTTTTTCTTAAAATTTCAGCATATTTTAATTCTTCAATTTACCCCCCCCCCTCTCTCTCTTTCCTAATAATGTGATAATTTCTACTAAACAGTTTAGATACCTAAGGTTCCGGAGGCCTTCCCCGCCAGTAAGAGTTGATAGTTTTCTGCTTCATTTGAGAATGAGAACTGATCGTACAACTCGTATAGTTTGCTACCATTTACCAGAGTGATGGAAATGTAAAGACTACAGATATTTCCCTTTGTTAACTGGTGGATCACGTCATTTTCTGTGAAATGTATTGTAGAAATTAATCGATAAGTACGGCAATTCCAATTTAAGAAAAAATATCAATTACACGTTAATTGATTTAATAATGGGAGACGAGTGCCGTCATTCTCTTTAGAAAGTCATCTTATTTTCTCCTCTCTCCTTCAGGAACTCATTTACACATTTTAATGCTTTGATTGCTTATCATATACAATTTTAAAATAGCTTACGTTTGATCTTTCCTTTTTACAAAAAACGCGGCAGATTATTTTAAAATAATGTTAATATATTTACCAATCCAGAAATCCTGTCCCGCGTCACCAAATCCACTTTTGTATTCGTCCCATGTTCTTTCAAAGCTCACATATCCATTTACACGTTTTTCAATTGTCTTCCAAGGAAAACATTCATTGAATACTTTTTTTACAAGGATTTGAATACTGTATATTTTTCATTTAAAGACCTCCTGAATGAAAAGAAATAATAAATGCATGTTAAAAATAATAATATACCGTCCATCCGCCTCCCATTGTGTACATATCACAGAAAACTCTGGCAGGTCGGGCTCGGGATCCATAGGGGTAAATCTCGTACACACCTGAATTATTCTCACCATGCTCATGGAGGCCTTCACAATCTCTTGGTGGTTCTATATGTGTAAAACAGAACAAAGTCTAAAGATATTACAACTGATAATGGTGTATTGCTGAGATGGTATACTGAACAACAATTGAATCGGTAAGGAGTACTTTTTATATCGTTAAATTTTCGGATCGTGAAGCGTAATTTTGTGGCATTAAATAAACTTATTTTGTGAGTTATTTGCAATTCATTTTCACCTAAATTAAAAAAAAGTCATTTACCTGGAGTCATTATGATACACACATTTACATTAGAAATTTGAGCGTTTTTAAATGTTGTCACATACCTGGTGATTTTATACTTTAAATGAAGCTCTTCCGATATGAGTCATTTTATCAAAATGTCACAAACTAACTGAAAGTATAGTTTATATACCTTAACAAAAGAAACGAGCCTGATCGTGAACCCAATGATAAATATTATTATTATATGATTGAATAATTTCCATCTCTCTGATTGGCTGAGATCCAACTATGTTAGAAAAATATTACGTTGTATTGACCTGCACGTGACGTTCTAGGTCAATACAAGGATTTATTTCCTCTACATTGATCTAAAAATAGATTGGGAGATTCCAAATTGATACAAATTGTTTTAGAAACCTATTCAAACGACTATGATTTTTATTTTCATGTGAACAAAACATAAGCGAATATATATTTTAGGTGAGGGTGGTAAGAGGGGATGCAGGGACCCCCCCTCCAACACTTTTACTGAACAACAATTTTTTTTTTTTACTTTTTGGCAGTCAGTTTTCGCTGATAATACTCTTTCCTTTCAAAATCTATAAAAACAACTGACATTATATATTTTTTTCATGGCAACTAAAATTGATTTAAAAAAAAAACATTTCAAATTGATACGACTGGTAAGGTTTATTCACATTTTAATTCTGCATCTCTCTTTTTTGTATTTGGCTAGGACTTAATAAAATAAGTTGTATCATTTTATCAGTGAATCATATAATAAAACAATTATTGCTGTTTTTTCGGTCAATACAATGATTTAGCCATCTTCGAAGTACAATATTCACCTCGCCCTTCGGGCTCGGTGAATATTGTACTCCTCAGATGGCTAAATCATTGTATTGACCTCAAAAACCAGCAATAATTGTATAATATTATACTTTCATGTAAATTAGTTGAATCTGATTAGTCGAGAAACATTTGTAAAAAAAAAAATATTATACTTTCATGTAAATTACTTGAATCTGATTCGTCGAGAAACATTTGATAAAAAATACTACTACCCGCTCAATAATGAAGCCACGCCCTCCTGCGTAGCAACAGTCAACATTGCTTGACAACAGGTGGTATTCCAAAAAATAGCGACTGCGCGAAACTTATGCGCGCATGGTTCACTGTCATATGTATTTGTATAAAACATTCAGTATAATATAATAAATATTGCATGTATAGTTAAGTGTAACAATGAAAATTTTCACCCCTCCAAAACCATGCGCCTCGGTTGACAATGGTTTTCTTGGGGTGAAAATTTTCAATGTTACACTCAACTACATGCAATATTTATATACTATTAACCTCTGAGTAATGAAGCCACGCCCTCCAGCGTAGCAACAGTCAACATTGCTTGACGACTGGCGGTATTTCAAAAAATAGCAACTGCGCAGAATTTATGCGCGCACGCTTCACTGTAATATGTATTTGTATAAAACATTTAGTATAATATAATATATATAGCATGTAGTTGAGTATATAAAGTTACAGTACCTACCACACCCTGGGGTCAAAATTTTTATATAACTTAGAAAATACTCTTTCACAGAAAGATTCCACTTACGTTTCAGTCCAACAAAATGTTTAAAAGAATTATACAAAATGTTATTATCACACCTTCAGGTCTGTATTGTCATTTTGTTCTGTTTACAGACTGTGGGATTCTGAACGTACAGAATACTACGTGGAATGTCCAGGACTGGGATGGAATAGGAATCTATCAACAATTTCACATTAAATGCTTTGAGTCCCATCTTCAGCGAGGATCCGGAAGGTTTTTGTGTCTTGAGAATGGGACGTGGAAATCGGACCTTATTTGTCTAGGTTTTAAGTGTACATGTACTATATAAACATTATCATATAAATATAGCATGTAGTTGAACTTGATTGTAATATAGTTTAAATATCTAACCAATCAGATAATGCGAAACAGAAAAGCAGCCCCAAAACCTCCTCCAAAGCTGTCAATGGAGAACATTTTATGTATCCGATTAATAAATCGTCCGATTACGGGATATCAAACGCTTATAGCGGGATAAGGTTAAAGAGACTAGTAAAGGAACATCTTCCAGACAGAGTGCTAGCAAAAGTATGATAGATAACACTGTTATTACCTTGGGAATCTGTCTCGAAGTGGGGCACCCCTGTTTGTTTACAATTTTAGTTTCTTACCTTGTGTATTTTTATTATACCGAATAGGGCCATTTTTAAAACGTGAGAAAAAGTTCAATCTGCTTGCATATAACGACATATCTTTAGATGTGTTTAGCGGGGAAATTTTATATTTTCGAGGTATTATACATTCTTACATTTTTTTTTATTAAAAAAAATGGGGGGTAGTATCCGTACTTCAGGTGCCTGTGGGTAAACAAAACAAATTTCCGTTGACTGTAAACAATGAAAATTAATGTCCGACTCTAAAAGTTCCGGAATATCGTTAACGATACAGATGCATTTTTCGTTGAGTGCGCAGGACAATGACGAGCAAGAACATACTAGATCCTGGAAATTTATAACAATTGAGCTGAATTTTTTCAACAAGAAAAAAAAATGAATTTTGATTTTTAAAATTAAATACATTGAAACAGACTCAAGACCCCCCCCCCCCCAAAAAAAATATATATATATATATTAAAAATAGGTGAATTAAAGAAAAATAATCAAAGTGAGAAGAGGACGTATATACAACAATTTAGAAGAGTCAACAATAAGGAAACAAATACATGTTTAATAACAAAATCATATTATCTCGATGAGCATTTTTTTTTGCTCGTATGTTTAATAAAAAAAAGTTCTGAAATCGTCAAATTATAACATTAAGATCATACGCAGCGTAGTTTGAACTTTATTGGCCCTTCCATGGCAAAGATTTTAAGCATTTTTAGAGAAATTGATATCAAGATTTTAATGCATTTTTTCGGGTATTTCTTGTAATTTTTGTAAATACCAATGTATATATATTCTGAAAGCAGGTATTGCGAGGTTTCTGAAAATGATAATGAAAACATTCTTTCTGTTGCCATGGCAACGAAATATGCCCAAATTACTGAGAAATCTCTATTTAACCTTCAATTAGTTATATATTAACTTTTTTAGTTCAGTAAAGTATTTAAAGTAAGTAAATTTTGATGTTGAGACATAGCAGCATATTGTTTACACAAAGTTTTAATCAAATTTTAAGCACTTTAGGGAGTAAATACAGGATTTCAACATTTTATGCTCCAGTAGGGAAAAGGAAGAATAACGTTGCTTAACAGCTATCTCTCGCAATCATAGACCAAGTATTACTCATTCTATGTCTGCAAAATCCTTTGTTTGACAGACAAGAAACTTAGTACATGTACACTCATGACTGGTACCCCTTAGTAAGTACATGATGACCCCTTTTGAGATGGAGGTCAAAAGGTCAAAGGTCAAACTATTCAAAATATATAAAGATATTTAAGGAATGAAGCTAATTTCAACTTATGTTATACGAAGCGGTTTATAAAAAAGCGTAAACTGCCCCAAGTTTTATTATATCGTATAATATAAGTTGAAATTAGCTTCATTCCTTATAATTTAATTTCAGTATATAGACAATTAGACAATTTTTCCTCCAGAATAAGGTTTCAAATTGAGGATTATTTTGAAAGTAACGTCAAGCGAAGTTATACGTTTTTGACGTAACTCATTGTGACGTAGGCAAGTTATGTTATCCAAAATATTATATGTTTCTCTGAATGATTCAACCAATGAAATAGCTTGATACAAGTGAAATTAAATTATTAACCATTCAAGATTTTGAAAACCCTTTGCTCAACATAGTATATATGGTGCAGATCTAAAAAGTCTGATTTTAATTACATTGTTGCTTTTCAGACAACATTTTTTGTTCACTGTTATCCTCTGAAGAGTAAATTACTTCTGGTGAATTTTGGTTTGATAGAATGATTGCCCCTGACCAGTCAACAACTATTTTCTTCACAATAACAAATTCTAAAGTTTTTTTCCAATATTGTCGTGCAGGTATAAATTATACATGTATTTGTTTCTGGAACAATTCTTGTTTTTTTATCACACTTTTTTACCCTGGTAGGAATGATCATAATCGTTTACAAGTGGTAAATACTTTCAAGTAAATATGAAGATAAAATTACACAAGCAGAAACTTAGATGTTATATATGGCTCTGGACAAAAAAAGAATAGAAAAAAATCAAAGACTTTGAACTTTTATAATTCATAGACTTTTCAAATTTGAATGAAGTTGAACTTTGATCTATGACATAGCACAATGTTGCATAATCGAAAAAAAAATTACCCTCTTTGAGTAGACACCATCATTCTTAACTTACAAACTTAAGGAGATTTACAAAATAAAATCTTAGCTTTCAAAATAACATTTAGAAGATTTGATATGCCTCTATACATGGTATTCAAATTTTGAAATATAATGCATAAAATTAAGGAATATTAACTTTGATCTTTGAGTCATTGTAATGTACAGTAATCCTATGTTTTATGTATTCCTGCAAGTGACATCCCATACAAATTTTCCAAGCATGATTATGTGACTTATGTAACAAATTGATCTTAGAGATTAACATCAGAATGAAATTCCCTGAAACATCGTTCACTACACAAGTGTTTGTTACACCCTTTACAACCATAAACTGTCTCCTTTCTTTTCTTTTCTCCATGTTTGGTACACCATTTGCATGTTGACTTTAGGCGATCCAGATGGCAAAAAACATGAGGGGGGTCAAGAATACCCTGTAAATGATGGCCCCGCTTTCTTCCTCTGAAGCCTCCAATAAGTTGCTGAGCCACCTCCATCCTGAAATCTAGCAGGTCAAACCTTGTTTTGGCAGGAAGATCCTTACCAGGTGTTCTGGAAAAAATCTCAAATGCATTTATAAGGCAAACTTCCATGATAAAGTTGAAGAAAAACTTCCAGTATTTTTTGGATGGTCTGCCAACAGGATTCTTTGCGCGGTGTTGCATGCATCTGTCGACTCCACTCATATAACGTTGATAGGCAGATACTGGTGGTGGACACATAACCTCAACAAAATTTCCACCCCGAGTTCGACGGACAACTGGACCATCTCCAAACGGACTACAATTAGTGCTCAAAATATGTACCTAAAATAAAGTACATAGAAATATAGGCCTAGCTAGAAATTAAACTTAAGCTACATATAGATATATAAATTTACTTCTTTGGGATTTTAAGATAAGCACTGAAACTATATTTGCACTATGAGACTTTTAACAAAGATATACACAAAAAATTGCACAGGAATATCATTAATCAGATAGACCTTTATGTCCTCCTTAACTCTTTAGTTGAAAGTTTAATAATTGCAGGTAGAAGTGTAATTGTGATAAATGTTGCTAGTATTTTTATTAAATTTTGAAACATAGTACATGTCTGTATGAAGACAATGAATATGTAATACCGTTTTCTTATCTTTCCAAGCAGTGGCAAGCAATTGGTCGTGTTGCATCTGTAATGTCTCCCCTCTCCTTAAATCCGGATTTCTTAACTCTGGCGGAAACCCTTCTGAGTCGCTCTTTATTGTCCCACAACTAAAAATCCCATTCTGAAGCAAGGTTCGCACCAAGGAAATGGATGTAAAGAACCTGATATTATATAAAGTATAAAAATATTAGACATTGAAAAATATGAAATTATTTTAATAATGAATCTTTTATCATTCAGTCTTGTTGTACAATGTTGAAGTCATTTTAAGTTGTTTCAAACACAAACCTGTCAAAGAACACATGATGGCCTTTGTATTTCAATGGTCTACACAAGTGTTTGACGACTCTTTCTCCTAGTGACTTTCCATGAAAAAAGTCATGTTTTCCCATATATGGCCAATAATCGTAGCAGTAACCATCCTCATCACATCTCATGAATATCTGAAAAAAATATTTTGTTGCATCAAATTTTTTTTTATAACTACCGTAAATCTGGAAATTTTTGCTGTAGATAAATTTTTAGCAAATTTGCGCGTTCATTGCATTTGTAAAAATATTTTTCTTAAAAATAAATTACCAGTAAGAAAATGTAAACAAAGCAGTGGTAATTCGCAAAATTTTGAAACGTAAAAATTAATCAACACCATTTTGACCCGAATTCGCAAAATAAAATCGACGTAAAAATTTCCAGATTTATGGTATTCACCTAGCATTTCAGAGACATATACATTAGCCGGTGGACCAGTTACTGGGGGGATGATTACCATACATACTCGCCTATAAGTCAGATTTTTGGGAGTAAATCTCTGGTCCAAAATGTCCGATTTGTAGGCTAGCTATAAAATGAATGGTATTATATGAGGTCAGTCCCTCTGATATATAAGCTTATTAAATACAACCAACTTATAGGCGGACCGACTTATAGGCGAGTATATACGGTACCTGTCCTTCTCATCCATTCCCTGATCCACATCATCAGCATATAAAAATATTTTTAATGCTTCCTTAGTGTTTTTTTAAATATGTAAATAATAATTTTTAAAAAATTACATTATTTTGTGTATCACAATATCAATTTATTGAATGCAAATATGCATTTCATTGATACAAACCTTAAAACCTCTTTTGACCGGTTTATTTGGCATGTATTGTCTTGCAAAAAATCTCCCTTTGTACTTAACCATGCCCTCATCAATAGCCTGCTGCTTAGGTGGATTCATCTGACTCCGGAATGTCCTTCTTGTCTCGTCAAGTACAGGTCTTATTTTGTGTAATCTGTTGAAAAGAAATGTGAAATATTTAAGAAATAAGATATCATTTTTAGAGTTTCATTGGGATGTGACATGAAGTCGGTCACGTGATCAAATTCTATAACACCCGAATTGCGTTATAGTAGATTTGATCACGTACTGACTTCATGTCACATCCCAATGAACCTCTCAAAAATGATATTTTATTTCTTATATTTATATTTTACTTTTATTCGTGTTACAAGGAAAAATAGGCGCTATTTGGACATTGTTATAGAAATGTAACATAACGTAACTACAGCGTTGTATGACATCACAGTCAAGACTTTCTAATAGTCCTGTGCGGTTTGCCCAACTGCATGTCATTGAAAATTAATGTCAAAATTATTTATATTGTCATATAAGGAAAGACATTAGCAAATGTAAATATAAATCTATAAAACAAAACGAAGACACTAAACGATAGTGATGTGATTCAGTGTCAATTTCATCATGTTCATAACTGATTTTTGGTTTTCTGTAACTAATATTAGTTATAATTAATTTAAGATCACTGTTGAATAATTTCTAGAATATTTATATTGATTAACTATTAAAATAGAGAATTATAAATTGCATACCTGTCAAATTCAGGTGTTCCTCTGGCTCCCTGAGTAGTATTATCACTTAGATGGAAATACCGAGTGAGCTTTTCAAATCTTTTCAAACTCAGCGTTTCTTGAAAACCAATGTTACCTGCATATGATTGTAAATTTCACTTATCAATGTCAATTTTAAAAAAATAATTCAACAATAAATGGATTTTATCTCTAGAAAATGAGAAAAGAAATAAAGAAACAATTTTAAATGACTTACACTGCCAATTCCAGAAGAGCACTAAGCAGGTGTAAAGTATTTTCATTTTATATTCAACATTTTCCTCAATATTTAGAAAAGTTTATGATCCGAGTTGTTTCATGGTAAAGGTTTGAAGACATTGGTCAGGTCAACATCTACATAAATATTGTTTGAATAGAAATACAAACATAAATTTAATACAAATGAAACAAATTGAATGGGTGTGCAATTTATAGACAAAAACAAAAATGTACAATACATTATGTTTATATCTTTGTTACACACACAAAACAAAGACAAAAAAAGTAAACATTGTAGTCATGAAGGTTTCCAGACAATGCGAGACACAACAATTATGAACTTAGCATAAGTTCATAACATGTAATAATATTCCTTATTTTTAATTTTTTACCAAGGAAAAATGGATCAGTGTCCGTTGTAAATATAATAAAATTTAATGTACTTTTCGAAATCTGGAAAGGAAAATGACTGACAATATTTTTTTTTCAAATTGTAACATGAACATTATTGTAAACAGAAAGTAATCTAAAGAAACAAAACAATATAGGTGCAAATTTGATAACTTACCGATAAACTTATCAGATGACCAATACATAGTGTATCTGGGAAGCTGAATAATCCCCATCAGAATTTGTAACCCGAGGAATGCCTTCATCTCGTCGATGGTGGTATCGGTCCAACCCTGGGCTCCACTCTGAGCAGCATACGAATTGGTGTTGTCCACAAGTACCTGTACCAGACTCAAGGGAAACAAGAGCAGGAAATATAACAGAGGATTTGCATCCGAAGAGAGCTGATGAGTGGGGCCTGAAGCATCGACGAAGTCTGGAACATCAAAATCTTCCACAACATCAGTCCAGAAGTCAGAATCTCTAATGTCGCTTGCCTGGCTATCAAGGTCAAATAATGTGGAATTTGTGTCCTGGTTGTCATCGCTGTCTGTCTCACTTCCAAAGGAATGGTCGCTGTCTGAATCATCCTGATCAAAATCTGATCCAGACTCGGATGAATCGTCGTCAAATTCTTCGTCTGTTTCTATATCTGACGATTCTGGGGATGAAGAAATGTCGCAAGAAGCCATATTGTTTACACGTGTTACGAATGTTGCCAAATATACGCAGAACGATCCCGACAGATTTTCATAATATTTTCGCATGTGTTCTTTTTTATCAAAACAACAAAACCATCTACTTTATTGTAAATGTGATTATGTGGTTATGTATTTTAAACAATTTTTTACTCGTTTTTTTCTTTTCCAGGGAAATTCAAACATTTTTATATCCATATATCGTAATACGCACGTAACTCTCATAAATATTTTTTGAATTGGTCAACTAAAAACATTTTATATCATTATCTAACACGCTCATTTATATTTTAGCTAGATAATTAGTTTCTAACACATCTAATTGAATAAACTATTTGGTTTTGATATTTTCTGAAGTTGTTTAAACGTGTTTTGCTACGAAAAATTGACAAGTGTTTGTACTGCGTGGATTTCGATCGCGGCAAATATCGCTTTTATTTAACTCAAAATACCAAAAAACTGGTAAATCAAATTTTAAAAAATTTAGAACAAACTTTCTTTGCAATTGTCCCCTCTTTCTAATGATACAAAAATTATTTCAATACTCGCAGTATTAAAGAAGTTATGACTATTTGTTTACACTCTACACGTTTTTTCACGCCAGAGGCGTAGAAAAGCGTATATGCCATGGAAGGGGTTAAACAAATTTTGATGGAAAAAAATCTTTAAATAATGCTTTGTAATTTTTGTATATTTTTCTTTGAAAAATGCAAAAAATTTTCAGAATTTGATATCTACAAAAAACCTCTGGTAATACATACAGGTTTTTTTGTCTATCAACATCTGATGGCACTATAATCTTACATTAAGAATATCTTAAAAATTATCAGTAGGTAAAGTTCCTTGCTTATGTCCTTAAGGAATATAGATTTACCTTATTCCATCTCTCTATCGTTGTGTATATCCAGCCCGGACTTTGCCTGTACATTTCTGGCTCAAGAGTGTACATTTGAAAGTCAATTTCACAAAAATTTGCTCCTTTAAAATTATTCATCGATATGCACCTTGTAGTTCTTAGGCATTCCACAACACAGTCTAAATTACTATATTTTGTGTAAGATTTGATCACCCTATTAAGTAATCTGTATCCATGTTGAAATGAACAAAAACTTTCTTTGAGATTTTCTCTGCAATTTGTTCTTTATGTGTTGCTTTGAATCAATATTTACATTCAGTGTATTTTTTCTTATTAAATCCATTAGAAATCCACGACGTTCAAATTTCTATAACACACGCAAAACCTTGTCACCATGCGTTAGAATACACAGCAGGAACTATAAGCATTTTCAATACTCTAGGGGCACCAAAATGTAAAATGTTTTATTTCAATTTAATGAAAAACTATAACCCTGAAAATTTAACGTAAAAATTAACGTTATGTGCGTTAAGAATTAATTTGTTACTTTTTCCTCGCAATGTTTGTGTGTGTTATTTAACTATGCAACGTCATTTAACGTCACAAACGGCTCTTACATCTATTAACCACGGCAGTTTTGAAGAGCGCTAAATTCACATTTAAGATGAAAGAAATAAGCACTTATGAAGAAGGAAAATTAGAGAATGTAAATATAAGCATTGAATTCATATTTTTGGATGTCTTCGGTCCTATAACACACCTGGCCGTGCCGACAAATTATCATACCGCGCTAACGCGCGGTATTCAATTTGTTGGCACGGCCAGGTGTGTTATAGGACCGAAGACATCCAAAAATATGAATTCAATGCTTAAATATTTACATTATCAAACATGAATAACAGATGTACAAAGTATTTCAGTTGAAGAAGAATTAGTAATAAAGCGTGTGTGTATGTCACTTTCCCTGGACGGATTCCATGAATTATATAAAATGTTTCAGAATGAATTAAATAATTCATAATCTTATCTTTTAAAATGAAGAACAGGAACATGAATTTGTTTCACAATGGCACCACAAGTTAGTGCATCTCTCGCAACAAAGCATATCTGTAATCATAACTGTCTTTGACATCGATCCCGATGCAAATTATGTCTTCTGTTTTGCACTAGTGTTCTGCAAACTTTAACATTCGGCATAACTTTTGACCATAAATGACAAAAACTTAAGATTTGGTATGAAACTTCACTAATGGAGCTCTTTCAAATGACACCAAGTTTAATGACCCTGAGGCCTTGACTGTAACTTATATGCTAAACATAAACGTTTTCGTACATCTGCCACAACCATAGGAAATAGAGATTACATATTTTGTATGCAAACTCCATGAAGGTCAAGATCTAGTAAATGAAAGGTGCCTACAGATTTATCAAATTTGAGAAATAAATTCCTTTAATGATGCTTTATAAGCTAAGCTTGGTCAAATTAGGGGTTCCAGGGCATAATATGTAATAAACAAGATGAAAAATCATACGCATTTATGATAAGGCTATCCAAAGACTTAAAAATATACATTTATTTTGAGCTAGATTTTGATTTTAATATGTAATCCTTGATTGAAATTGCAGTCAACTTGAGATAAAAGTTTAATCAGTTAGTTAGTTAATCAGTCAGTTTAATAGTTAATTAATCCCGTGTAAGTGCAAAAAGGTCAAGAAAAATTAGCATCGGTAAATAACCTATCTCTCATTAGTAAGAGGGGAAAGGCATATATTTTAATCATTTTTTGTAATCATTTGTGACGCGCCAAGCAAAAACCTCCCTTAACGAAGAATTTTGACATTTTCACTTTTTTATTGATTCTTGTAGAGTTTTTCTTTCTCTTTCGTTTGATGTATAACATGACATATATTTCTGTGTATAAATGTATGATATACCGTACGACAAAGACGGAATATTTACTTTGACGTACAGTGTACGCGTGCGTAACTGCATGAATTTTCATAACGTTAAAATGACGTGAAGCTATATACATGTAATGATTTGATGATATATATTTTCAAACATTTGAAAAATACCAATAATTAAGATTTTTAATCGTAATGATAAAAATAAACATTGTAACTATATCTTTCTAAAATGAAAAGAGGGGGGGGGGGGCACCGAAATGATTGACAAGGGCAAAAAAAAAAAAAAAAACATTACTCATATCTAAAATCTTCCTTTCCTCTAAAAGCTATTTACTCATATCTAAAATCTTCCCTTCCTCTAAAAGCTATTCCAATTTATGTTTTTTTTAATGCAAGAAAATGGCAGACAACAGTAAAAGGAAATAAGCAAAATTTAGATGAAAATAATCCTATTGTGGTAGTACAAACTATATATGCTCATCTTCCTAAACCAGCTTGGGCTGCATGTCTTTAATCTTTAAACATTTTATTAATTTTTCCTGGCCCTCAATTTCTTATTTTATATTTATGCTTAAGGACATACGCAACGTACCTTACCTACTGATAATTTTTCAAGATATTCTAAATTTAAACTTATAATACCATTACATGTTCTTAGACAAAAAATCAACATGCGTTACCAGGGGTTTTGAAAAGATGTCAAATTTTAAAAATTTTTGCATTAATCAAAGAAAAATGTACCAAAATTACAAAACATTAATTCCAGATTTTTTTTCATCAAAAAATTGTTTTAAAAGAGGTGTACAAATCCATATAGACATTAAAAAAACGCACACAGGTCCTTCATATAGTGGAACTCTTCAACTCAAGGGAAGAACCCAATAAAATTCAAACTACGTTGTGTATGACCTTAGATTATTGAAATTAAATATGTTTAGAATCATTTCGTAACTAAATGAGTTTGCATACTTTTCAGTAAATCAGAATGTAACACACACCCCTTTCCAATAAAAAAATATGTATATTTTTAAAAATATGGTTTGAAAAAGAAATTCTGTAATTTATATGCATTATGAGGAGGATCATGAATTCTGACCGATTATTGTATACTAACCGAATAACAAACCACAATATCAGAATATACATTAATCCCACAGGTAACACACTCCACAACTTCATTTACATTCATTCCTAGACAAGGGCTATAAGATCTAGCCTAAACTTTACCGTTACCTTCCTGAGAAAGTGCATGCACACTTTATGATTTATATTAATCATATCAAATATTATTTGCTTTTTAGTATTCTTTAAAACATGCATGTTAAAAATTGCAACAGAAAGTAAGAGAATGGGTTTCTTCATATTCTACCATTATCGTAAGGGGGGGGGGGGGGGCTGTGCTATGGACATTCACGCTTAAAAAATTACCTGAACTAATATCAGACAAGTTCTTTATTGACTTTGACAAGAACAAGGCACACATGTACAATCTTAAATTGTAACGATAAATCTTTTTTCTTAAAACATAAAGCTTTTTGATAATTTTGCACAAAATTCCCCATATACGTATGTACATGTATGCACATGTATTTACTTATCACAAGACGAGATCACCCGTGAGTTTCCGACGATGGCATGTATGTACAATGCGACTTTTGCAGGTAAAAAAAATTATTGAAATTGTTTTAATTTGTTACATGTAATTGGTAGCAAACTTTCATAAATTGAAATGCATGAACAATTCAACAGAAGTAACACAAGTGAACTTGCGATAAAAAATTTATTAAACGAAAGTCAAGCAGTAAAAAGTAAAAGTTTATATTTTGAAAAATAAATCAAGTGAAGACACATAAAACAAAGACAGGTTATAACGTTCACACACGGACACACACACAAACGTTTTGGTAACTCGGAATAGTCCAGAGTAAAAACTGTATTTTGCTTGATGACGGAATGTCCAGTACATCTAATATTCACGTCCGGGATAGTCCACGGCGGGTCTAAAACTAACTCTCTCACACAACATAAGGGATTCACTCAAACTTCAATTAACACATTTACGCAATTATCACACATACAAGCCGGACGCTCTTTGAGGTACAGGATTGACACTAATTCCTTAAATAAATATTGAGTGACAAATTCCTTTTTACTGTCTAAACATTAATTGACTGATAAATAATTTTCGACATATGTTAAAAACAGGCATTAAAAATAATTCTTGTTATAAATTAAAATTTTGTTACATTTTAAATAAATTTGGTAAAATTTACTTTGTGACAATCCTTCCCCTCTCCGA